TCTTATTGCAGATTCTTACCTGCTCCTGCTCTGTACATTCTGAGGCCGGCCATTCTAGTGCTGGAATATGACAAAAGCCCCAAAACCTCCAACCCAAGGAGACTGCGGCAGATGTCTGTAATGTGACCTCAAGTATTGAGCAGAATTGGGTGATTAGCCCCCTGCCCCCGGGAGCGAGGATTTGTGAGTACTGCATGTTAAACATCATTCCATGGACCTCTATGATGACATCTATGCCCCTCCCCCCGCCCACATGGACTGCAGGAGAACTCGCCTCCAGATCCTGATCCTGGGCCGGCGTCTCCCCCTCCTCCTTCTTCGCAGGGATCTCTTTGGACACCAGAGAGTAGGTGGTGACAACAATGTCGTACTGCGCCAACCTGACAACAACAACAACAACCACGTCCATGGATTAGATCTCTGCATCTGAGGGATGGACGCCGAGCGGAAGCGTCACAGCGTTCCTTTAACAGACACGTAAATGATTCTACTGTCAGATATGTTTATCTTCTATACACACATAAGCAAAAAAAACCTGCCGGCCAGCCCAGCATAGCCCCTCCCACTATCAGCGTGTCCTTGGGGGAGGAACTTCAACTTCTGTATTGTGGGCAAGATCCTCAGGGGCGGAGCCACATCACGCAGATGAAGACGTCCGAGTGACTTTGCCTGATGTCAATAAAGTATATTGTAACCCATGCGTGAGAAGTGCCGCTGGGAACGCGTTTGGAAGCTCAGCCTGGGCGGGTTGGGGGTGTGTTTTAGAGAACGCTCCAATGTTCAGCTTCCATAAGAATAAAGTGAGGCGCGGATATACAACGACTATATGTCGGGTGCGCGCCCCTCCAGTGTCCCACAATGCAGTGACAGCACATCGCCACCCTATACAGCAGTGCCGTGCGGTACCTCTTGCTCGGGATGAGGCATTCCCCAGCCCCGCCCCGAAGCCCATCACCTGGCCCACTGCCGATTGAAGCCCCACCCCCAACCTAGTGTAAAGGAGGAGCCCCTCTGTCCCTCACTTGCTCCTCACCGCTGAGGCTCCGTGACAGGTTAAACCGGGGGATGGGATGGGGGGGGGGGCTAGTGTAAATAAATTAAAAATAAGGGACAAATAAATGAATGTATGTATTGCATTTTTTTTTAGCTGTGCTGGTTTTGTTAAAAAAAAATACTACAAATCAAAACTGGGAAAAAAAGTTATTTTTTACATTTTTTCCTCTTTTTTTAATTTGTATTTGTCCTAAGTGAGGCGTTAGACACACATATGTGATATAAATATGTAGCCCTATCTGTCCTCTAAAAAACAATATATAATATGTGTGGGCGCACTTTGTAAGAAAGTATATTACTGACGTGGAAGAATCACACGGCAACAATGTCAAAAGCGTGTCAGTCATTTACCAACAGAAACCAAAAACAAGCTCAGTCATGAAGGGGTTAACAAGCCGGAGGTTCCAAATTCCCCCAAGCGGTTGGTGGCATACCCCCGCCTCCGCCACGGCTGTACTCACAGTTTGGTGTCCTTCTCCCGGTTGGGGCCGTGGTACAAGTAAACACGCAATTTACCATCCAACACCCTCTTCTCCACTTCCTTCTTCCAATGGTGGATGAGGGAGGCCGGACAGATGACCAGAGTCCCACGGGAGACCGTCAGGGTGGAGTCTGAGGACGGAGATGGCACATCAGTTTTACCGACACTTACGTGGCCTACAGTTCTTACATTATACCAGGGGAGGACGCATTCATATGGAATTCAGGAGCGGGCCTGTCCAATCCCGGGGGGCCGGTCTGTCCAATCCCGGGGCCACCAGGAGTTTACTCAGGATCTCCATTAA